CAATATCATATTCCTGGTAGGAATTCTGTGAAGATTAAATTAAATAAGGCTTATGTAGAATTTAAGACAGTGTTGGACAAACAGTAAGCGCTCAATAAATGAAATTATGATAAAATGCACTTTCACATTTCTCATTATGTTTGTTTATTCCCCTTAACTTGTAATGTTTCAGGAAATAATGACTATACCTCTATAATCCTTACTTGAATAGAGAGTAAGTTATCTCATGCCCAATTCAAATTGTCAGCTTAATAGCACTGAAAAATGCATCAAGTTTTATACAACATAGCTAATGCTATAGTATGTATTTTTGCTTTCAATATTTATGGAAGTCATTTAAGGGCAATAGGAGCTTGCTCTAAGCTAGACTGTTGGTTCTCTTTATTAAAATAAACTTAAATGTTAAATGGATGCTAAAAGCCTAATTTAAAAGAAGTATGAGTTGATTATGTACCCTTAGCGTGGTATGCCAAACAAAAGGAAATATTTGCAAGTACCCTGCTGTATTGCATTCACAATGGCACAGTTTCACTTTGTTTTTATTAATGTAGACACACTGAATAACTACACAGGCAAAGGTTCTGACCATAAACTACACTACAGCATAAACTATTATAGTTAGACTATGGCAGCAATATTGTCTGGTTCTGGCTGGTTAATCAAAATATGTTTACAGTACACAATAAAAAATTTATGTACATGCCATAAACATTTACTTTACCTTAAGACATATAAATATGCACTAATTCCCCAATTTTCCAAAGTGGTTCCAAGATTTTTTTTTTTTAAAGATTTATTTATTTATACAAGCACTGGGTACAATCAGAAGCGCAGGAGGGCGAGAGAATTCACCAGAGCTAGAGCAGGGAACAGAACAGACAGAGTGTCAAAACACACTACTGAGGGGAGCAGTGGGCTCAGCAGGAGAGGTCTGTGTGTCATGTGGGACCCTCACCTTGAGGCCGGGGATTGAACCTGAACTGCAGAGGCTGCAGGCAGCTTCACAGCCCCAGCGTTCAACCACTGCGCCACCAGGGGAGTCCCCAAGATTTTTCTTAAGGAAGCATTTCTTCCTAATAATTTTCTTATATAAACTATACTTTGAATTTATTTTCTGGAAACAATTTTCAGTTTTAATTTTCCAAAACTGAAAACTACAAACAAATAAACAACAACAACAAAAAAAAAACCCAGCAACTTTAAAGAAAGCTCAGGACATTATTTCAAGTTTTTACAATTTTTTCTGACCACTTTTTCAGTCACCTACTTTTATGAACTCTTTCCAAAGAGTTTATCATTCCTTTCACATAAAAAAATAACTCTTTCCCTTTGCACTCATGTTTTATAGTTTCATCATTTAAATGATCTAATCACAATAACAAGTACAACTGGCACTAACAGTTTTGCAATAAATACAGGCTCTTGTCCAGTCAGTAACCCAGCAGCTGGAGAGGGAACAGGCTCCTTGAGGCTGTGCTCATCCTGCCTGGCACTCTGTTTTATGTGGATATGAAAAACCATGGGCTCATTAGGGTTAACTGGTTAGATGTCAAGAGGACTGTCCTTGTTGGGATGAGCCATATGCAACTATGAACATTCAGCTGTCTTTTTACCCAGAGAAACAGAGAAATGGCAATTGCATATCATGTATACATGGTTGAGCAAGTACAATCCAGATGTATAAAATACTGCTTATACTTCATATTAAGCAGTACGTCTATAACCCATGTTGCTCTCCCTTTGAATAATGAATAGTGGTTCTCACAGTCTTGTTTTTGAAGATCCATAGTTATTCAGGAACTTACCCCAAGCTACTGACTATTAGTCATTAGACTTTGGAGTCATAAGAATGTTATTTTTATCTTCTTTTTTGTTTTAAGTAAAAACCATACCTGCTAGCATTTTAACAAACAGGCTGAGAAATATATACACGTGCTTGCTAACTAACTCAATGATAAACATCAGAGGGATTAAAATGTAAGTCAGCTTAGTTTGTTTGTTTGCTTCTGAGACATAAATCTTTCTGGTCCGTAGGATCCAACATAGCACTCTCTGTTTAGAGAAGGCAGGAGGAAAGAGAGGGCAGAAAAGGAATAGGGTTAAGACATTCTTGGATAGGTTTAGAATTAAGTCACCTTTAAATAAAAGCACCCTTTCCTTTTATTCTGTCCTTGTTATGTCATTTAATTCTAATAACAAACAAATAAGTCATAAAAGTGCTGTTAAGACAAAACCCAGAAATTTGAGACAGACAGAAGGAGCAGATTAGGGACTACTAGCCAAACCCTCCTTTTCTACTTCTCACATTTCTACCACAGAACCTAAAAATTCTAAATCAGCTTATGTTTATGGTTGATCTTATGCCCCGCAAAGCTATCCTAATGTCTCTTATACCTCTAAAATGTGAACCCACAGAATGAGGGAAGAACCCAAACATTGTAATTACACCTGGGTTTAAATCCTGACTGCATAATTCCAATATGCCAGCCGAGTCGGCTTTCTTAACCTGAGCAACTCTCTTAACTTTTTTGCAGCTGTGTGTACTATGAAGACTATGGTGCAGACTTCGCTGACTTCAGAGAAAACTCTTGAGAAAACGCAAGTAAAAGTGACTTTTTGCAATTATTACAGATCTGAAAGATGCCGCAGCTTTTCACTTCATGATTATCAATAAAAGATTTATAACTTAAATGCAGACTTGACTATTCTATAAACACATGGCACAGAGGACATCCATGAAGTTTAATTTCTAATCCAAAATTCTTCTGTAAACTGATCAAAAGCAAGATATCTAATGTAAACATGATAATAGTCTTTTTCAGATCAGATACAGAAATGAGATATCACAAAGAAATGAGATAGTACCCACAATGGGGAGAGGTGGAGATCTCACAAAGGCAAAATTCCAAATACCAGAGTAGTACTTTTAAAATACAAATCTTAGCAGTCCCCACTTACAACTACTTAATTCTTATTGCATCATATTCTGCAAACATCTATTAAACAACTACTAGTTGGAGATTTAATGTCCTAGGTTGTTTACAATCTTTTTATGGAACATTTACAAGAGATAACTTGACAATAGAAAATGGCATATGATAAGTGACAAGTGAAAGTTCAGGGGTAGGGAAGAGGGAGACGGGTGAACTGAGTTTGGGGAGTGGGATGAGACTGACAAAGGCAGCACAGCAAAGAGACAACCTAAAAGGTGAGCACAAGTGATTTCACAGTTGGGAGAAGGGTAACATGAGACAGGACCACAGAGTTTTGCTCCTTGTGAGCAGAAACATGGTGGAGTCCCTGACAGAAATAATCAGTGAGCTGGAAACCCTCTGGGGCAAAGCAAGGCAAGTGGAACTGGAATATCACAATGTGCTCTGACAGATGCTACACTGAAGCTTAATAGCACACTGCAAAATACAGAATTTAAACTGGGTAAGAAGTAATGACCGAAGGAAAAAGTCTTATAAAAAATCTTAAACAAAACAAAAAACCCTAAACACCTAATTAGTCCTAGCTGTGCAAGAGGGAACATTTGAATGACCTGAGAAACAGCGTGTAGTCAATGATGCTTGAAACGGCACAGACTTCAGAAAAATGAGGAGGAAGGACAGAAATCCCAGGTGAGAGAGTAGGCACTGGGGCCGAAGCCCAGCGCTGGCCCCCAGTCCCTGAGTGGAATCTCCTCCTGCTCAGCCTTACCGGGGTGCCTCTGGGCAAGTTACCGTGTCTGGGTTTCCTCATGCTTAAGAGGAGGATAATTCTATCACCTACCTAACAGGATCATTACGAGGATTAAGACTAAGTACAAGTTCTTAGCACAATATCTGGCGTGTAAGGATTCACGAAAAGTCTGCCATCGGGGGGAAAAGATTTCTTGATCTTTGGCGACCTTGAGGAAAACCATTCCTGGCCAGTAGTAGGAGCAGAACTATTATCCAAAGTAAAGGAAATTAATAAACAGGTGCGCGGCAAGAAAACCACAAAGCAGCGATGACTTTTACAGCAGTCAAAAAGTAAAAGCGAGGAGCGAATACAGACGACCTGCGAGTATAGGGTGAAGAGAAAATGCTTTCCAAGGGGCTATCGCAGCAAGAGGGGGAAGGCTTTGCTCGCTTCAAACTATTAGTCGGTGTTGGATTAGTTTCTCCAACATACAGGGAGTTGGACCGGGACAGAGACCGGATCCTTTCGTGCTAGCTCCCCCCGGGAGCGGGGGTGTCCAAGAGGTCTCTCTGCATCCGGTAAGTTTGAATCAGCGCTGACTGAGGGGGGGGGGGGGAGGCCCATTTCCTAACGAACGATAGTTTGGAAGATAACACAACAGGCTTTCCCGTGTTCATCTCCCGCACAACCTGTTCTACGACTCTGCTCATCTCGCTTCTCACTCGGCAGCCGCCGCCGACTCGCGGAGCCAAAGAGGCAGCGCCCCGCTGCAATAGCAGCGCCCCAAGTTCATTCCGGTTTCGAGGACACAACAGCGCCCCAGAAGAAAAGCAAGCCGAAAGATGGGGCTCGGGAGTTTTGCGGGGTGGCCGGCGAGGCCAGGCTCCGGAGCTGGCCGAGTGACCTCGGCGGCCAAGGTCGAGCGGGTCCTTCTCTGCCGGGTCCCGCCGGCGACATCACCTCCGCCTCCGCGCCCGAACCGCCGGGTCCGCGCCGCGCGGGAGCGCTCGGGTCGCCGGGGGACCAGGGCCCCCGCGGGATGCCGGGGACGGCAGAGTCACCCCGCAGGGCGCAGGTGAGCGCGCGGCCCCGCCCTCAGCATCCGCAGGCCGCGCTGCGAGAACTTCCCCGGCGCTCCCCAGAGCCCAGGAGCGCCCGGCCGGGCTCCCCGAGTCTCCCGCTGCCGGACCCCACTCCCCGCGCGCCGCGCCCACGGTCCCGCCCCGCGGCTCCCGACGCCCTGCCCCGGGGTCTCCCTCCCAGCCCTCAGCTCTTCTTCTCGGCGCCCAGAAAAAGTTTGGCCGGGGCCCGCGGGCCGGGCGCCCCGCACTCACCCCGCCGGGAGCGGCGCGCGGGAGCGGAGGGCGGCGGCGGCCGGGTGCGCGAGCGCGGAGTCCTCACAGCGGCCCCTGCTGCCCCGAGCGCGCCGAGCTGTGGCAGGGGAGGAGGCCGCGGGGTGTCACCTGCCCGCGCTCCCACCCCGCCGCGTGACGCCGCGCAGCGCCGCCCCCGGCCCGCCCGCCGCCCGCGCCCGCGCCAGGTGCCCGCGAGGGGCTGGAGGAGGAGCGGCCCGGCCGGGAGGGGCTCGCGGCGCCCCACTTCCGCCCCGGCGCGCGCGGGTCCCCGTGCGGGGCGGCGTTCGGCCGGGGACCGGGGCCTGCTGGGCGCTTCGGGTTATCGGTTCTGGCCGCTGAACAAATTACGTTTCTTTCTGAGCGCAGATGCCATCACCTGAGGTCATCTCGAGGCTTAAGATAAATAGTGTGAAAATTTGTCGTCATGCATGACTCAGGATGTAGGAAAATCTGAAACGAGGAGATACTGGCAGAGGGTGAGGCCGGAGGCGGAGAGGGGCGAAAAGGGAGTCCCGGTTCCGGAAAAGGCTATTCCCAGCGCTAGTTCCTATCTAAAATGGAGGCCAGGCCGGCGATGAGAAACCCACTTGGGGTCAGCTCCATTCCCTGCTTATTAAGGAACTAGAGAATTGCTACAGATGTTGAGGAGTCAGGGGATTTTAGACCCCTGAAAAGCAAATTGTACAATCATCTAAGTTAACTTTCCTACTTAGCAACTGCTGCAGGAAATGAGGTTCAGCTAACCGATTTCTCATTTTTGCCTGTTGGACTGGGGAGTGAGGAAGACTGTTAGGCATGTGCATGCACGCGCCACGGTTTTTTAATTTACCTGTCCTTACGTCTGGCTATGATCCTCTTAATTGCTGCTAGGATTTGGAATCATGGCATCAATAGCTGGAAGGCAAATAGAAGTCCAATAAGTTCCTTGCTTAAGAGGCACAACGAGGAGCTAGAGTTGAGTTGTCGTCTACAAAATTTTCCTGAGGATTGGGGTCGGATGTAGGCACCTTACAAGCGTGCCTGTGGGTTTGTGCTGGAGTTTTAAGTATGGCATCAGGACAGAAGGATCCAGACCACCGACCAGGGAGACTGGCAAGCAGAAGACTCTGTGGGCCAGAAGTGTATTTTCCTCATACAAGGTTTGCCTTCTGCTGCCTAATGCTACTTCAGTAAGCAAGAGATTTTTAATGCTTTTTGTAAAATTTGATAGTGCACACCACACCACTGAAAGGAATGCCAAAACCAAACAAACAAAAAAACCTCAAATTAAAGAAGTTCTTAGGACCTCCCCGGTGGCGGTGGCGCAGTGGTTGAGCGCTGGGCTGCCAAGCTGCCCGTAGCCTCTGCAGCGCCGGTTTGATCCTCGGCCGCTGGGGGGAGGGTCCCACATGACGCGCAGACCTCTCCTGCTGCCCGCTGCTCCCTCAGCAGTGTACTTTGTCAGTCTGCCTGCTCTGCTCTCCCCTCTGGCTCTGGTGAATTCTCTCACCTTCCCACGCCTCTGACTGTACCCAGTGCATGTATAAATAAATAAATAAATTTTTTTTTTTTTTTTAAAAAGAAGTTCTTAAAATCAAGGAAGCTAAATCTTTCTCCTTCCTTTTACATAAACTCTGCTGTCATAATAAAAAAGGTCATTTGGTAGGTTTGGGGAATCTAAGGAATTAGAGACAATTGCTTAACTACATTTGCCTTTGAGTCTGTCATTTTCTGCCTATCAATATCCATTCACAAATTTCAAGTTGGAATGGTAAAGTGGTTAGAGAAGATCTCATGGAAGGAGGCATTTTTGAGGCAAAAATTGAGAGGTGAGATAGCAAGCCTGTGTGTCTGGCTAACAGCTTTCAGTTAGTGGAAACAGCAAAGTTAAACGTTCAAGGCCCTGGGGAACAAGTGTCTCAGGGGGTCATGTTCAGAAACCAACAGGGAATGAATCCAGTGGTTGAACAGGAGTGAATGGGGCAGTAGTACTAAATGGCGTCAGAGAGTTAAGGGAAGCATTCTGAGTCGAGAGGTGACATCATCTGACTAAAATTATGAGAAGGAAAATCCTGGCAATGTTTTTGAGAATAGATTGGGGATGGGGTGGAGTGGAGAAGGGCAGAAACAAGTTGATGAGTAGGAGCATCTTATAAAATCCAGAGAGGCATAAAAGTGTTTGGAACTATGTTGGTAGTGGTGAAAAGTGGTCACTTAAAAATATGTCCCCAGGTAATAACAGGATTTCCCATGGATCAGCTGTAGAGTGTGAGAGAATGAATCTAGGCAGTTTGCCTTGACAAATTGGAAGGAGAAAATTGCCATGTACTAAGGAGAGGAAAGTTGGGTGGGGGTAATGAGGAGTTGTTAGGGGGACTGATTCCATGTGAAATACCCTTATAGATCATATCCAATTGGCTATACCAGTCTGAAGTCCAAGAGAGGGTTCTGAGCTGGTGATATAAATTTGAGTGTAGTTAGCTTCCAGATAATATTTAAAGGCATGAGAATGGCTCAGCGCACTAAAGGTTTAAATGAATCCTGGGAGACTCCAGGATTGAGTGGTCAGGGAAATGAGGGGTAAACAGAACTATTTGAGAATGAGGTAAATTCAGGAAAGTGATGTATCCTGGGAACAAGTGTGCTAGTCAGTCATTGCCACATTAACACTGCGTAACAAATTTCTCCACAGCTCAGTAGCTTGTAGCAATGGGTTTAATGGCATGCCCATGAGTCAGCAGGTTGGCTGCAGTACAGCTGACCTAGACTGTGCTCAGCTGAGTTGATTTGCTTAGGTTACGCATTTAAGTTTGTTCCATGTGTGTTTATTCCAGAGCCCAGCTTCTTGAAAAGGCACTTAGAGATCTCATGGTATATAATTAGAGCTGTACTTTGAAAAACATTATATATTTAACTTTTCTGATATTTATTATTTCTCTTCAATTAAATCATAAGCCCATGAGGGAGGAGAGTTTATCAGATATCTCTTGGTATCCCTGGGACTAAGATCAGTAGCCCAGAAACAGTAGCTGCTAGCCAGTGCAGATTGTGATGAGGAGTTTGAGGAAGCTGTTGGTAGTATCTGTACGAACTTGCTATTTAAATGTTTTAAAATGTTTCCCAGGTATATTTTATATACATGTAAATAATATATTTGACACCATTAGAGGAAGAACATAACAGGTACATTGTGATAGGGACATTATGTGGCCATCAACTCTTCCCACATATTTACCTCAGTATGTCTACATCCCCAAGCTTGATGTCTTCATCTCTTTTTTGGCATTGAAAATGCAAAGTAGGAGACAAATAATTTTCTTTTGGTAATTCTTCTGTTCAGATATCTAAGATGTGAGAAAAATTTATATCCCCAAAACAGAATATAAGTGAAAAATGGAATAAGAATATCCCTTAAATTATTATAATAATCAGTATTGTAATTATTTTTCTATAGAACTCAGTCATTTGAAAATGTTAATAAAAATTACTTTCAAGGGCCTCCCCAGTGGCGCAACGGTTGAGCGCTGGGTTGCGAAGCTGCCCGCGGCCTCGGCAGGGCCAGTTTGATCCCCGGCTGCTCCCCGGCCACCGGAGGAGGGTCCCACATGGCGCGCAGACCTCTCCTGCCGCCCGCTGATCCCCTCAGCAGTGTACTTCAGTCTTTCTGCCTGCTCTGCTCCCCGCTCTGGCTCTGGTGAATTCTCTCACCCTCCCGCATTTCTGACTGTACCCAGTGCTTGTATAAATAAATAAATAAATCTAAAAAAAAAAAGTTACTTAAAAAAAATTACTTTTAATTGTGAAGAATTGTCATTTACTGTTATTGTGAGGTTAACTTTGGCTAATCTGATTTCAAATGTTGAAAACTGTTGTCTGTACCAACTATGTTATCTGGAAATAAGGCACAAGTTAATTTATTAATTCAAATCAATTTATCTCAATATCACAAAGTCCTGTGAGGTCCAAATCTAAATAATACCTAAATACTCATACATTTTATAACAAAATGTTTTTCAAATAGAGCTATCATAGTTTATCAAATAATTAAATACTACACCATCAAGAAAAGCTACATTCTAATGATGTGATTGAAACAAATAAATCCACAATTAAGAAAACAAAAAAATATTTACACTCTCAAAATTTATTCACCTGTCATGATTTTTGGGGATGTTACCCTATACTGTTTTTGCACTGTTATTCTAAGGTTTATATAATGACAATCAACTGATATCCCATGTACCTCAGAGGACACATAGGTACATAAAGAATGAAGGCTGTGTCTTCTTGGAGGAGTTACATTTGTACTAACTTTGTGCTTCCCAAAATTGCTTAATTTTAATAAACACTGAAGACAAATGTTAAAAAACAAAGATTTTTGGGTCCCTCCAAAAATCTACCTTAGATAGCTGTATAATAACCAGTGGTGAGACTTTTGATCATTTTCACCTCTATTTTTGTTTTATTTCCCTTTTTTTAATTGTATACCTTTTTCTCCCTCAGATATACCCGCTACTGAAGAGATACCTATATAATTTATTATACATTCAGTATGAGTACTCAATTTTTGTGAAAGGTTTATCATTTTGAAGTAAGAGGAAAAACCACCAAAGGCACTTTTATTAATAGGCTATCACATAGATTTTATAAAAACATTAAATTTATATATTTAATTTTAAATACTATATGATACTCTAGTCAAAAATTTTTGTAGTTTTTTTAGGGTGTTTCTAGAAGAGTACTACTGTAATAAAGCAGTGATAAGTTAGCAGAAAGAGGCACCGGGAGTTATGCTTTTAAAAAACAGCCTGGGGCCTCCCCGGTGGCGCAGCGGTTGAGCGCTGGGTTGCGAAGCTGTCCTCGGCCTCTGAGGCGCCAATTCGATCCCCGGCTGCTCCCCGGACACCGGAGGAGGGTCCCACATGGCCGCAGACCTCTCCTGCCGCCCGCTGCTCCCCTCAGCAGTGTACTTCGCTCCTTCTGCCTGCCCTGCTCTGCTCCCCGCTCTGGTGAATTCTCTCACCCTCCTGCGCTTCTGACTGTACCCAGTGCATGT